CGGCCCGCAGCGCCGCCTCCAGGCTGGCCAGCTGCTCCGCCCTGCGGGGAAGGGACCACAGCACTGAGCCCTGGGTGGACAGATGGCCCCAGAGACGTCCCAGTTCCCAACCCTGGGCCCCGAGGATGGCCACCCCCATGGCTGAGGGGCTTTGCAGGGGGACAGAGCCAAGCACCCTGACATGGTTCGGGTCCTGGGTGCCGGGCCCTGCGTCCTCCAGACGCTGGGAAAGGTGGGACTGGACCTTCCCCTGGAGCGGCAGGAACCCTGGCCTGGCCACACCTCGGGCTCAGGACTCCCGTCCTGGGCGTGGGGTGAAGCCCACACTTGTGAGCGGTTCTCACAGCGACGCCGACACTCGCAGGTGCACTGCCCGGCACCCCGGCCTGCAGGGGCCTCTGAGGACCGACCGGCATCCCCAGGGGGTCCCCGAGGGGACGGCAGGCGGACGCACCTGCTCTGGTTGGGGATGATGCCCCGCTCCTGCTCGCGGAGGTCCCGGCCCATGCGTGCCACCAGCCAGTGTCCGCCCCGCGCGTGGCTCGGCCCGGGGCCCGGGTACAGCGTGTCCACCACGTGGAAGACGTCCCCGCGGGTGAAGCCCAGGCCCGAGGGCGGACTGGGCTCCAGCTCGAAGTGCGTGCGGATGTAGAAGGAGTCGCCCACGCGTGACTGCACCATCTTCTGGAAGACTGGGCACAGGGGACGACAGGGGACGCTGTGTAAGCCCCGGCTGTGCCAGGTCCCAGCTCTCCCCTGGAGGAGGCCAGGCCCCAGGGAACCCGCCTCCTGCAGGCACCCCGGACAGGGGCAGGGCGCCCAGCACAGGGGCACCACACTCCGGGCTCATCGTCGAGCCTGTCAGGGCACCCTGCACGCCATGCACACACACTCATGTGCTCACACTCACACGTACATGCTCACACGTACTCACACGTGCACACGCACCCTCACGCACGCTCACATACACTCATACATGCACGACACCTCGCATACACTCACATGTAGCCACACATGTACACACTCCCGTGCACGTGCAACTACTCACACGTGCGTGCACACCGTCACACACAACCACTCCCATTTACACACTCACATGTAGCCACAACTGCAGGGTCCCGTGCATGTGCTCACACATGCTCGCCCACAAGTACTCGTATGCACGCGCACCCTGGCACACATGCATTCACACACTCGTGCGCACGCACACGCTCACTCACACTCGTATGCACACACAGGCCCTGCACACTCACGCTGCACACGCGCTGGGGGCGCCGCACTCACGGGCCTGCTTGTGCTGCATCACCAGCTCCACCTCCTCGCCCACGGGCAGTGCCTGCAGGAACCGCACGGCCTCCTCTCGGGTCAGGTCCCTGAACGGCAGCTCGTTGGCCTGCGGGTGGGGAGCGGGTGGAGAAGTCAAGGCCCACGGCCTCCGAGACACGCGAGGGCATCGTGACGCGGGCACGCGGCCCCGAGGACTGAGCTCGGCCGCTGCAGATGCGCTCAAGGGTCTGAGCGGTCCGCGTGCTCACGGGGACGGCGGGGCACGGGCACTGAGGCGGGGAGCGGGCATGGGCGCTCCTCCAGGTCTGCAGAGTCCCCTGGACCGAGGCAAACCACGCGGATCGGATCGCACCCGCGCAGGACCCCGCCCCGGCCGCCCTCACCTGCAGGATCTGGTCCCCCTCCTGGATGCCATGCCCGTCCGCCGGGCGGCCCCCCCGCC